CCACGGGAGGAACACGAGCCGTGTGCAGCCAGCCATGTGACCACGGGAGTAACCGTGTTGCCAGCATCTTTGGACCGTTGTGTTTCCCTTCCCATCAGCCGCAGAGCGCCCATCTGCTCTCCATTTTCTGGTGGAATGGGAACAGCCGCGGGCCTGCCTGGGGTCTGGGCTGTGTAAGGGGGTGGGCCGGGCTCAGCGGGGGGAGTCCCGGGTCCGGTGTCACATTCAGTTCCAACTGCGGGTGGTTTGTGAGGTTGGGAGTCAAGCTGGAGCTCAGCTGTCAGGGGTTTTGGTGGTGACTGTGCAGAACCGTGTTGGCCTGCGGGTCCCCTGGGCGCTCGGCACCGTCAGGACCCACTGAGCTCCTGACACCCGACCCAGAAGGTTCTGCGGCTCACATTTCTGAGCGAGCACTCAACGCAAGATTTTGAAAAGCACCCCCGTGACCCCAAGGATAAGAGAAGAAACTAAATTCATGACCAACATTAAAGGAGAAATAAGTCCGTCAGAACCGGGACGGCGGATAAGAACCCAGCAGTGACTTTAAGGGGAGGCACCCAGTAAAACGCCCTGACGAACCAGGGATCCAAAACCATCATGTTCAGGGTCAGGAAGCTGCAGCAGCACGGAGAGGAGGGCTGCTGGGGCCCGGCCAGCTGATCGCTACAGTCCGGCCTCTAGGGAGGCGCCCGCCCGCACCCGTTGGGGGCACTGCCAGGGCGCCGCGTTACCTCGGAGGGAAGTTTCAAGCCTTAGAGCTTCCATTTCAAGAAGTGAAACAAAACCGAAAAAAGGAAAGAAAACTACGTCTTCGAGCCCAGGATTGGGGTGGGGGCGAGGTGAACCCTGAAGCCCCGGCGGGGAGGTCAGCGCCAGAGGGAGCGGGAAAAGGACAGCGGGTGCCCGTGGAGCCCGGGGCTCCTGCTGCGAGGAGGTCGGGAAGGCGGGGCAGCGCTGTCATTCTTAGGGGGGGCACCCCGAACCTGGGACGGGAGCACCCCCCTGGGCCCGGGACGGGAGGGC